TAATTATTAGTTAAAAATCAGAAGTCTGATATATCATATTTTTAATATATATACATTTATCAAACTAAAAAACACAAATTATATAGATTACAGAACTTATTATTACTTTTATTTCTTCCTCAAGTATTTAAAAAAGTATTAATGCTATAGATTTATTTTTTTGTAATTTCTATACTATTCTCATTATTAGTTCTCAATCCTCTTAGGGATTATCTTCCTAGGGTACAGAAATATTAATTACTTTGAGGATATAGTACCAAATAAAAACTCCCCAGAAAACATCAATCCAAGGTGTCAGCATTTTAGGCCAGGTTGTAACTTTTAAATTTCAGCTACTTATCTCCAGGCTGTACTTCCCTTTTGTACCTATTCTTTTGTGGTCAAGATGACAATGTGAAACTTACAGTAAGGTATTTTGGACAGAGCAGAGTCAGTAAGAACAACAGGAGAATAAATCATGGGCTATTAGAGCTAGAGAACACCTTAAAAACAGTCTCTGCTATTTCATTTTCTAAATAGGGAACATGAGAAGGAAGAGGAAGCAGATCCTGGTGGCAAGGATTGGCCTTTGTAATAGTTCATGAATCATGCTTCTATAGACCTGAACAAGGGTGATAGCAATAAAAAAGAAGACAAGTGTGAGAGCCAGGTTAAGCAAAACTGAAGGCTTGCTAGTGACTGATTAAATGTAGGAGAATAATATAAAGCTAGGTAGACATGCAAGTTTATATAATCTACAGCATGCTATAGGGAATTGGTTTTACAGCCAAGTATAGTTTATTTCCAGCAGAGCTTAACTTGTTTCTCAAGGCAATAAAATTAGTAGAGCCACTGAATGGAGGCACTGCCCTTGAACAATACTATCGGATATCCTCAACAGAACTGGTTATCAAATTCATTTTTCTTCATACTGTGCAATAACTTTAGGTGTTTTAAAACAGTGCTACTCAAAGTGTGATGTGTAGATCAGAACCAGTCTATAAACTATTCTAAGTTCCCAATGAGATAAGTACAGAAATTACAAGTAATATTTAGAAACTTGAATCACTTGCTGTGACATCCAAGTGGATGATCACAGGGTAACGTAATAAAAATGCTGGCCTGAAAGAATTGAAAAATAACCTCACCAAGGACAATTTGAGAAGCCTTGTTTTCAAAGACAAGAAAATATATTTATAATACATGAAGTTATAAAAGCAGGTAATAAAACTTTATAGTGTATGGAATCACTTTTATAAATATATACATTTATCTATAGTAAAAGTGGAAATATATTGAGAAATAGATTAAATAATATAATGTATAAAAAATACTTAGAATACTGCCTGATACAGAGAAACACTCAAGAGGTGTTTATGACAATGATGATAATGATGACGACACAGAAGACAATGATGCTGTTTCCAGTCCTATTCTTGCTGTTCGATAACCATCAAGGATTTTCACTTTATTCCAAAGCTGCTATGCCACCACTGTGCTTACTATTTTGTGTGTGGGTTTTCTTGCTGCTGGTGCGGACCCCAGCCCAGAAGTCTCTACATTGTCATTGTGTCATTCCAAATACACAGTCATCATTAGTCATGGGTTCTTCCCATGGCCCCCAACCCTCATGGCTCTTTCTTTTTCAGGTCAGTTTCAACAGGTATTAACAGGCTATTAAGCTTACCAAGAAACCTTCCACTACCTTAGGTTGCTCAATAATCAAAATGCATAGAGTTGCTTGTGAAGGTCAGCTTACATCTTTCCTTATCTAAATTTATAAAAGAAAACAATGAGTTTTATAAAACCCTACCATTTACAGAGGAGGAAGCTAGGTAGAAGAGGCCCACAGACCACATGGTTGGGCTATAATTGAATTGGGACTAGTTGCCAATGCTCTTTCTCATACCCCTCATTGTCTTTCACAACTCTATTCTGCAATTCTACAAGTTCTTAGAGATGCCTGCATTGTGTTTATTTTGTCTTCTTGGAAAATATATAAATATCAGGTTCGGTATATATTTTTGTTTTATGCATTCAGTAATTTAAATTCTGGAAGTGCAGTGGTGTGGACCTATACATGGAGAGAAAGAACAAATGCAACTAAGTGTGGTTTCTGTGTATCTAATAGATGTGCCTACCACTGGCCAGCCTCTGCCCTCAGGAATTCACAAATACCTGCATTAATGAGCTGGTTTTACAGAATGTTAAAAACCATTATTGCCGGGACCAGTTTGGCTCAGTGGATAGAGCATCGGTCTGCCGACTGAAAGGTCTCGGGTTCCATTCTGAGCAAGGGCATGTACCTTGGTTGCAGGCACATCCCCAGTAGGGGGTATGCAAGAAGCAGCTGATGGATGATTCTCTCTCACTGATGTTTCTAACTCTCTATCCCTCTCTCTTCCTCTCTGTGAAAAATCAATAAAATATATTTTTTTAAAATTAAAATACCAAAAGAATGAATTGGGGAAATATGCTTTAAAAAAAATTTAAAAAATAAAAATAAAAACCATTATAACTGTGAGTTCCCAAATGGTTGTATCAGGGCTTTCAGTTACAAACAACAGAATCAACTCATTCTAGGTAGTTTTAACAGAAAAGGCTGATTCTCAGAGGCTAGTGCTGCTTGGAGCAGTATCCAAAGCCACCACGAGACCACCCCCAGTGCCTCTGGGAACAATGAGTTCAGACACTAACACCAGCCTTCACCTCTTATGCCACGAAGAACTCCATGACTTTCAACAAGACTCTGCATAGTGTCTTCTTCCACTTGATGATTTTTTGAGTCAAAGGTCTCCAGGAGTGCTGCTAATGACAGAATCCAGGACACATGCTGGGTGGTCTGGGATGCGGGAGAGACTGGAAAGTTGACATTTATAGCTTCCAACTTGCAGACCTAGGTTTCACATGTGGGAAACTACCAACATTAAGGAAGAGTGGTCAGCCGTGACCGGGTGGCTCAGTTGGCTAGAGCATCATCCCAATATGCCAAGCTTGCAGATTTGATCTCTGGTGAGGGCACAAGTATCAACCAATGAATGCATAAATAATTGGATAATAAATTGATGTCTCTCTCTCTCTCTTTCTCTCACAATAAAAAAATAATAAAATAAAATAAAGGAATAAAAGATTTTTAAAAAAGATTGCTGAGTGGTCCCCATATTTCTCATAAATAGCAGTGCTTTTGGACTAGATGAACCAAGTTTTGTTCCTGTAAATTAAAAAAAAAAAAGTTTTTCAAAAGATTTCAGGAGGACACAGATATAACAAATGCCCACTATGGTACTCATGCAAGTTTTCTTTAAAATAATGGTCCTGGCTCAGTGATAGAGTGTTGGTCTGCGGATTGAAGGGTCCTGGGTTCGATTCTGGTCAAGGGCATGTACATTGGTTGCGGGCACATCCCCTGTAGGGGGTGTGCAAGAGGCAGCTGGTTGATGTTTCTCTCTCATCGATGTTTCTAGTTCTCTATCTCTCTCCCTTCCTCTCTGTAAAAAATCAATAAAATATATTTAAAAATAAAATAAAATAAAATAATGTTCCTTTCATAGGGCCCAAAACTTATCCTATATAATAAAAGCCTAATATGCAAATTGACCTAACAGCTGAATGACTGGTGGAATCACGGTCGCTATGATGTGCACTGACCACAAGGGGGAAGATGCTCAACGCAGGAGCCGTCCCCAGCCCAGTCAAGAGGGTGTCAGCGGGAGCCCCCCTGATTGCTCCGCTGGTTGCCCCACAGAGGGAGGTGACTGGAAGTGGCAGCAGGGGGAGGGACTGGTGAATGGGCAGTGCTAGGCCAGTCAAGCAAGTGCCAGTGGGAGCCCCCAGTTGTCCCACTGGTCACCTCACAGATCTGCCCTGATTGCTGGCCAGTCCTAGGGACCCTACTCATGCACAATTTTCGTGCACAGGCCTGGAGAGTGGGATTTAGAAATCAAGACTTAGGTGCTAGAACTACTACTGGCTTGTCACTGCTTGCACTATAAGAATTTGTAATTATCTGCCTTCACCATAAAGCTAGAATTTCTTTCTTTTTTTTTTTTTTTTTTTTATAAACAAATATAATCCTAAGGTTTATTTATCAAATTTCATCAGTGGGGACTTAGAACAACTTTAAAATAAGGGCAGTTCATTATATTGGCATACTTGGCAATAATATAAGTACAGAAACTTTTTTTTTTTAAAGACTTTTAAAAGGGGGCAACACTGGTCAGCATTTGGTACATGAATACAGTAGCACGCCTACTGAAAAATCTTCCTATACATCATTAAAGTTTGGAAGTAATCAAAGTAGCTTGAAATGTGTTCGTTTTAGAATGTTAGAGGCAAAAGGGGCCTTATCAAGAACAGAAAAGTTTCATTTTTTTTTGTATGTGGTTCAGAATACAATTTACAACACAACTGGCTTATGTCACAATAAGTAAATTCTACTTCAGGCTCTGGAGTACGTGGGGCATTAAACCTGATTAAACTTTTATATGACCAAATCCCAATGTTTCTCTTGATAAATGGTTTATCGATATTGTCAGATGTAGTCTAATAATCATCCACGAAAAAGTAGTTTCCGCTCTTCTTTTGTTCTACATCCTTAATGGAATTGAGTATAGCGAGAATTTCATTCCATTGCAAGACAGGGTCTTCCCCCCCCCCCCCCCCCCCTCGGTTTCTCCCTGTTGAGTCAGCAAGGCTTTGGACAAACCGCATTTCAGCTTTCCCTTTTTGGGAACCTTCAGGGAGGGGGCAGCCCTCGGCCACGGGCGTGCAATACACACCTGTGTCCTCCGGAGGCCGCTGTGCTGCGCCCAGAGCAGCCTCGGCCGCCGCTGCCTCCAACCTGGGAGCGCGTGCACTTTGCAAGGACACCGAGGAGGGGGCACGCCCGCGCTCCCACTTCCTCCCGGCGCCGCCTCCGATTGGCTCCGGGGCCTCTATAAGAAGCCAGTGGAGGAGCCGCTGGCCCCGGCTCCAACTTGCTGGAGGTCTCGCAGGCAGACAGCCGGCCCCGGGGGTGGAGGATGAGGACGTCCTGCGTGGTGCTCACTGCCCTGGTGGCGCTGGCCGCCTATTACGTCTACATCCCCCTGCCCGGCTCCCTGTCCGACCCCTGGAAGCTGATGCTGCTGGACGCGACTTTCCGGGGCGCCCAGCAAGTGGTGAGCACCCGCAGCCCCGGCGCTGCCTTCCCCCTCCCTCCTCTTCAGTGGCTTTGGAAGGGGAAGCAAAATTTCCGGACCGTGTCCCATGAGGATTGCATGTTTTTTCTAACGCAGTGAGGCAGTGGCTTTTTTTTTTTTTTTTTTTTTTTTTAAGGTGGTTCCTTATGGCAATTTTTTCGGGGTCTTGCATTCGCCTCCTTGCTAGCGGCGGGGCGAAGGAGAAGGTGAAATTCTTGCACAGAATCTGACAACTGTTTAACCCTTCGTCGGACCCACGCAGCCCCCTCTTTCTGGGTTTGCAGAGTCAAAACAGTCTTTCGCCCTAAGCCGGCTGCTGGGCAGACTGAGGGGGTGGCGGGTTCGATTCTGGTCAAGGGCATGTCCCTTCGTGGCAGGCTCGATACCTCTGTTCGGGGCGCCTGCGGGAGGCACTCTCACATCCATGTTTCTGTCTCTGCCTCTTTCCCCCCTCCTTGCCACTCTCTCTGAAAATCAATGGGATTGACAACAACAGAAGTCTTTTCAGCGTTTTCTAAACCTCTCCCCCATTTCATTCTCCGAAAGGGGCCGGCAGAGAGCGAGTGGGATGTTTTTAGGACAGCTCTGGATAAAACCGGCTCTCCTCTCCAGCCATGCAGCCACCTTAAAAGCAGAAGCCAGCACCGGCGGTGTCCCAACCACCATCCCCAGGCTGTGGAGCCCTCCATTCTGGGGCCAGCAGTCTGGGCGCCTCTAAGCACTTGAGGAACCGCTCAGATCTCCCATTTCTTGTGTGGCATGTATCAGCTCAGCCCGAGGAAGAAGGCCAGGAGGCCTGGCTGGCTGCAGGAGAGGCTTGGAGGCCAGCAGCCCGTGTTTGCATGATGCATTTGTTTGCTGCCTGCCCTGCAGCATGTATTTGCTGTCCTTGGCTGTGGAGGAGATAACCTTTGCCTGAGCCAGAGTATCCTGGCTTGCCCTGGCAGAGTAAGCCATTTCTTTCTACTGGATCATGGCTCCCTCTTCCCCCCCCACAAAAAAAAACATAAAAAACAAACAGGAAAATATTACTGTCCCTCTGTTTTATTTTAACGTAAGAGGCATTATTTTTAGTGCCAGAGACTCTAAAACCTAAACTAGCATCTGCAGCCAAGGCTGAGCCCTATGATTGTACAGCATTTCTGAGCAGCTTGCTCTATCTCAGCTCCTAACCTTCCTCCAAAATCAAGTTTCCTCTTTTCCCACAACCTTAGGCTTTAATCTCAGGCTATGTTAGTTAACTATTTATTTATTTATTTATTTATTTACGAATGACTAGAGAAAAAGGTGGAGGAATCATGGCTTTCCCTAATCTTCCTTATCCCTCTCCATCCTTACTGAGTGTAGTAGTCTCTGAAGCTTTGTCATATCAAAAAGCTTCTTTACTAGGGCACTGTAGCATATTCCTCGTAGGCCTTTGCTTCTCTTGAGTCCCGCCACCTTCTTCACCCCCCAAGTTCCTGTTGTCTCCTGGGAAGTGTCTGTGAAGCTACAGATCCTCTTCCTTTCCTCCTGCCCCCTAGAATGGTAAGGAATGTCCACCCCCTTCTCCAGCATTGAGTTCACGAAAGGCAGTCTTCATGTAGGAAGCCCTTTGTCCCTCTTTTCCTTCAGAAATTATGGGATTTGGGAGTCACATCCTTCAAGGATTCTGGGGTACAATGGTATTTACCTGGAGTGGGTTAAACAGTCTTTAGGAAATAGCAGATAGTAAGTAAGAGAAAATGGTGACCAAGAAGAAGAAGAAGAAAAAGAGGGGATGGGGATGGGGGAGGGGGAGGGGTGGGGAAATGAAACTTCTGTGTTGGCCGCAGAGTGATATCAATTTTAGTTTTCAGGTCACCAAAGAAGTCTTCCCCATCATACATAATCTGGGAAAAGCCAGGTTGCAAGAAAAGCCATTTTCCCCCCAACGAGGCTACCAACCCATTAAAGTCAAGGCCTTTGGACCCTATGGTCCTGGACAGAATGTGCCCCTCGCTGGCCCCAGATATCGATGAAGCAGCCAAGTATCCTCACCTAGCACTGTAGCTTGGGACTGGCTTGGCACAGAAGTGGCTCTCGTCACTCGCCTTCGGAATTGTGAAATAAAAAAATCATTCAGACCACTTGGAAGCCTCTAATGCCCAGAAAAGCAATTTTCCAGTATAGTTTCAGGTTGTCCTGGGGAAGGACAAATGTGGCTTCTTGACACATTGTAAATAGATAAGAGCATGTGTGTTAGAGTCCTGCCTTCTTCCTCAAGCACATCCCGGCCAGACCCCTTACTGATGGCGAGGCCAGGCAATTCCCTAGCCTGCTCTGATCCTCCGCTCTCCCTGCAAACCAGAGCTAACCTTGTCATGTTGTTGTGAGGATTGGTAATGTTACTTAAAGGCCTGGAAATTGTAGTTACTCTTTTAAGAGTTGTCCCGTAGGTCTGCTTCAGCTAGTGGAGATTCCCCAATCTGTGGGACTGCCTAACTGTGTTGAAACAATAAAACAAATGTAGACTGGAAGTAATTGAAACCTGGGGAGCTACCACAGACATTCCATGGCATAAAGCTTGTTACCCAAGTAATTGTAGAGATGATTGATCCAATACAGAAGCAACGGAAGCTACTTCCTAGCAGACTCATGCCTCCCCATACAGAAGAACAAAAACACTAATTTTTATTCTGTTGTCATTGGCAAATGCTTCGCCTCTCAAGCCGCTCTTACCTCCTTTGTTTTGTGCAGAAGAATTATGTTTATTGTACTTTTCTTCCTTGGAGTCCTCCGAGATTACCTAAGAAGAAGCCACTTGGCATTTTTCTCTAAGTCATTTCACGCACAGCTGCTACAGTAGATTTCATCTGGGGAGCTTTAAAAAATCCCGATGCCCCCAAGTCACACCTTATACCAACTTTATTTAGAATTTCTGGGAGGTGAGACCCAGGCATCAGTGTTTTTAAAAGCTCCCCATGTGATTCCAAAGTACAGCATCGTTTGAAAAATAAAATGCATTGCAGATGTAGATAATGTATTGTCCTCAAACTGCTCTAGTTACGTTGCACATCTGTTGCTGGGAATGAGCCTCTCATATTAGCATGGATTAGTCTCTACCAGATTAGTTGGTTGATATTTTGGCGCTAAGAGTCTAAGGGGATAAAATCCTAGCAAGGCAAATTTCACTGTTACAGCAGAGCCATCAATAAGACTTTAGCTGTGGGAAAGCAGGTCTGGGAAGGCAGGGAAGAGAGGTTTAGATAAAGCTTGGGCATCAGAAAACTAGAGGGACAAAAGAATAGTTTGGGGAGGTTCCCATACTGATTTCAAACTGCTGTGCAAGCTAAGAGTTTAAAACTGTGGTCGGCAAACTGCTGGCTCGGGAGCCACATGCGGCTCTTTGGTCCCTTGAGTGTGGCTTTTCCAGAAAATACCACGGCCTGGGCGAGTCTATTATGAAGAAGTGGCGTTAGAAGAAGTTTAAGTTTAAAAAAATTTGGCTCTCAAAAGAAATCTCTGTCGTTGTACTGTTGATATTTGGCTCTGCTGACTAATGAGTTTGCCGACTTCATTAGAGCATTATCCCAATAAACCAAGGTTTCGGGTTTGATCTCCAGTTAGGACACATATAAGAAGCAACCAAATGAATGCATCAATAAGTGGAACAACAAATTGATGTTTCTCTCTTTCCCAAATCAATATATATATGTATAGAAAAAGCAGAAGGATATAATTTTAAATATAGGGGTTTGGGGGGGGGAGTCATAAGGTTATAGATTCTAGTTTTCCTACAATGATCATGTAATATGATAAATGAAAACTTTTGTAATACATTTTGTAGTAGGTTTCCTACTTCTAAGGTGGAATTGATGTGCCTATGTATATTAATGCGAACAAGTTTTTTAGTAATTATTCTGTGAAGAAAATCAAGTGTTTTTTGTTTGTTTGATTTTAACGGTTATCCCAGTGGCCTGCTTGATGCTCAGTCACCTAGCTGTAACGCAGGTGGAAAGCGCACTGTGTGGAGTTTTAGGGAGATGCTAAAATGACCTATAAGAAACTGCAGCCTAGGACTAGCCCTGTTAACATTCAGCCATTAAAAAGGTAGGAGCTGACAGGTGTTACAGAAGAGGTAGTTATAGAAACTCAGAGGAAGTTTAGAAAGGCGGTAAGATGGTGAATAAAGTTAATAATGGCTCTAAAGGGAGTTCAGAGTAAGAGTTTAACTTTTTTTTTTTTATCTTGATCATCTCTTCGCTTACATGAGTTGTGAGTTTCTGATAGCATGTAGAAGAGGTTGTTGAGATTGGTATTTCTACTGAATATCCTCCGTCTTTCTTATGGATGTCAGTGCATTTGGACTAGTTGAGCAAGTTTTTTATTGTCTTGTAAAATGTCCCCAAACTCATTGAAATCTAAAGTGATCTTACCTGAATATTCTGAGCATGAGGTGGTTGTAGTTTAGGTGACAGTTCAGCTGGATGTCTTGTAGAGCTTCAACTTGTTAACCTTTTTCATAATCATTCATGCATGAACGGGTGCGTTTGCTGATGATAGGTAGATTTATCCTGAAAACAATAGTAAATAACAAGTTTGTCTACCGCCTTCTATACATGCCATGATACATATTTCTTCAAGTAAGTTAGAGAGTTCACCAGTCACAGATTTTTTTTTAGCTTATATAGTGGGATTTTTCTTTAAATATCTCTATAGAGAGGCCTTAAGAATAGCTTTGGGGCGATATTTTTCAGCTTTAGTTCTGACAGATCAGCAATCTGAGTTGGTCTTTAGTGGATCCAATCAAACATTAAGGTCAGATTGATTCAGCTACCAGGTGTGTTAGATAATGCCCAATTTATAGTTTTTCTTTTTCCTTTTTCCTAGAACTTTGCAAATATTGTCCCAAGCACAGAAATGCTATCATTATTACTACTTTATTTAATGGTACAGTCCATTTCTAACAAGTGGCGTGAGCTTGATCTATGACATTTCTGTGAGATGTGAAAGTGTAA